GAGGAAGTTATTATTTTCAGAGAAATAGGGAAAGTTGAACATATATTATCAGTGTTGATGGTGATATTCTATTAGCAATATAGAAGAAGATAATTGAAATGTTTTTGATGATAGTGATGCAGAGGGGATAATGATTGGCAAAGAAATATTAGGATAGTTGAAATATAATTATTATCAGTGTTGATGATAATAATTTATTATCAATATAGAAGATTATTGAAATGTTGTAAGTCATGATGATTAGGAATTGATAATGATTGTCAAAGAAATAGGGGAAGTTGAAAATATATTATTGTTGTTGATGATGATATTATTTTATTATCAATATAGAAGATTATTGAAATGTTACTGATTATGATGATAATGAGATAATGATTGTCAAAGAAATAGGCATAGTTGAAAATATATTTTTGGTGTTGATGATAATAATTATTTTATTATCAATATAGAAGATTATTGAAATGTTGTTGATGATGAGGAGGAGGAGGAGATAATGATTGTCATAGAAATAGGGATGGATGAAAATATATTATCAGTGTTGATCATAATAATTTATTATCAATATAGAAGATTATTGAAATGTTGTTGATTTTAATTATGAGGAGGGGGTGATTATTATAAAAGATATAGTTATTGTTCAAAATTTATTCTTTAGGTGTTGATGATAATATTTCAATTTCTATATCAAAGATTATTGAAATTTTGTTGATTTGATGAGGAAGTTATTATTTTCAGAGAAATAGGGAAAGTTGAACATATATTATCAGTGTTGATGATGATGTTTTATTAGCAATATAGAAGAAGATAATTGAAATGTTTTTGATGATAGTGATGAAGGGCTGATAATGATTGGCAAAGAAATAAGGATACTTGAAATATATTAATAGTGTTGATGATATTTTATTATCAATATAGAAGATTATTGAAATGTTGTAAATCATGATGATTAGGAATTGATAATGATTGTCAAAGAAATAGGGATAGTTGAAAATAATTATAATTGGTGATGATGATAATATTTTATTATCAGTAAAGTAGATTATTGATATGTTGTTGATTAAGGTGATGAGGAGGAGATTATTATTGTCATAGAAAAAGGGATAGTTGAAAATAGATTATCGGTGTTGATGATTATATTTTAATATATATATAAAAGATTTTTGAAATTTTGTTGATTTGATGAGAAAGTTATTATTATCAGAGAAATAGGGAAAGTTAAACATATATTATCAGTGTTGATGATGATATTCTATTAGCAATATAGAAGAAGATAATTGAAATGTTTTTGATTATAGTGATAAAGGGCTGATAAGGATTGTCAAAGAAATAAGGATAGTTGAAATATAATTATTATCAGTGTTGATGATGATATTTTATTATCAATAAAGAAGATTATTGAAATGTTGTAAATCATGATGATTAGGAATTGATAATGATTGTCAAAGAAATAGGGTCATAGTTGAAAATAATTATAATTGGTGATGATGATAATATTTTATTATCAGTAAAGTAAATTATTGAAATGTTGTAGATTATAATATCGAGGTGATACTGATTGTCAAAGAAATTGAAAATGTATTATCGGTGTTGATGATAATATTATATTAACAATACAGAAGATTATTAAAATGTTGTAGATTATAATGAGGAGGAGATAATGATTATCAAAGATTGATAATATTTTATTAACAATATAGAAGATTATTGAAATGTTGTTGATTTTAATGAAGAGGAGGGTTAATTATTGTAAAAGAGATAGGGATAGATCAAAATTTATTCTTTAGGTGTTGATGGTAATATTTCAATATCTATATCAAAGATTATTGAAATTTTGTTGATTTGATGAGGAAGTTATTACTTTCAGAGAAATAGGGAAAGTTGAACATATATTATCAGTGTTGATGATGATATTTTATTTGCAATATAGAAGAAGATAATTGAAATGTTTTTGATTATGGTGATGAAGGGCTGATATTAATGATTGTCAAAGAAATAAGGATAGTTGAAATATATTATCAGTGTTGATGATAATAATTTATTATCAATATAGAACATTATTGAAATGTTGTAAATCATGATGATTAGGAATTGATAATATCATTGTCAAAGAAATAGGGATAGTTGAAAATAATTATAATTGGTGTTAATGATAATATTTTATTATCAGTAAAGTAGATTATTGAAATGTTGTTGATTAAGGTGATGAGGAGGAGATTATTATTGACATAGAAAAAGGGATAGTTGAAAATAGATTATCGGTGTTGATGATAATATTTTAATATCTATATAAAAGATTTTTCAAATTTTGTTGATTTGATGAGAAAGTTATTATTATCAGAGAAATAGGGAAAGTTGAACATATATTATCAGTGTTGATGAAAAATGGATAGTTGAAAATAGATTATCGGTGTTGATGATAATATTTTAATATCTATATAGTGATGCAGAGGGGATAATGATTGGCAAAGAAATAAGGATAGTTGAAATATATTAATAGTGTTGATGATAATAATTTATTATCAATATAGAAGATTATTGAAATGTTGTAAATCATGATGATTAGGAATTGATCAGTAAAGTAGATTATTGTTGATTAAGGTGATGAGGAGGAGATTATTATTGTCATAGAAAAAGGGATAGTTGTAAATAGATTATCGGTGTTGATGATTATATTTTATTATCTATATAAAAGATTTTTCAAATTTTGTTGATTTGATGAGGAAGTTATTATTGTCAGAGAAATAGGGAAAGTTTAAAAAAAAATTTATCAGAGTTGATGATGATATTCTATTAGCAATATAGAAGAAGATGATTGAAATGTTTTTGATGATAGTGATGCAGAGGGGATAATGATTGGCAAAGAAATAAGGATAGTTGAAAAATATTATCAGTGTTGATGATAATATTTTATTATCAATATAGAAGATTATTGAAATGTTGTAAATCATGATGATTAGGAATTGATAATGATTGTCAAAGAAATAGGGATAGTTGAAAATAATTATAATTGATGTTGATGATAATATTTTATTATCAGTAAAGTAGATTATTGAAATGTTGTTGATTAAGGTGATGAGGAGGAGATTATTATTGTCATAGAAAAAGGGATAGTTGAAAATATATTATTGTTGTTGATGATAATATTTTGTTATCAATATAGAAGATTATTGAAATGTTGTAGATTATAATATTGAGGTGATATAATGATTGTCAAAGAAATTGGGAAAGTTTAAAATATTTTATCGGTGTTGATGGTAATATTTCAATATCTATATCAAAGATTTTTGAAATTTTGTTGATTTGATGAGAAAGTTATTAATTTCAGAGAAATAGGGAAAGTTGAACATATATTATCAGTGTTGATGATGATATTTTATTATCAATATAGAACATTATTGAAATGTTGTAAATCATGATGATTAGGAATTGATAATGATTGTCAAAGAAATAGGGGTAGTTGAAAATAATTATAATTGGTGTTGATGATAATATTTTATTATCAGTAAAGTAGATTATTGAAATGTTGTTGATTATAATATTGAGGTGATATAATGATTGTCAAAGAAATTGGGAAAGTTTAAAAGATATTATCGGTGTTGATGATAATATTTTGATATCTATATAAAAGATTATTGAAATGTTGTCGATTTTAATGAAGAGTAGGGTTAATTATTGTAAAAGAGATAGGGATAGATCAAAATTTATTCTTTAGGTATTGATGGTAATATTTCAATATCTATATCAAAGATTATTGAAATTTTGTTGATTTGATGAGAAAGTTATTATTATCAGAGAAATAGGGAAAGTTGAACATATATTATCAGTGTTGATGATGATATTCTATTAGCAATATAGAAGAAGATGATTGAAATGTTTTTGATTATAGTGATAAAGGGCTGATAATGATTGGCAAAGAAATAAGGATAGTTGAAATATATTAATAGTGTTGATGATAATATTTTATTATCAATATAGAAGATTATTGAAATGTTGTAAATCATGATGATTAGGAATTGATAATGATTGGCAAAGAAATAAGGGTGGTTGAAAATATATTATCAGTGTTGATCATAATATTTTATTATCAATATAGAAGATTATTGTATTGCTGTTGATTTTAATGATGAGGAGGGGATAATTATTATAAAAGATACAGGGATTGTTCAAAATTTATTATTGGTTTTGATGATAATATTCTTATATCTATATAAAACCTTATTGAAATTTTGTTGATTTGATTAGGAAGTTATTATTGTCAAAGAAATAGGGAAAGTTTAAGAATATTTTATCAGAGTTGATGATAATATTTTATAAGCAATATAGAAGAAGATGATTGAAATGTTTTTGTTTAAGGTGATGAAGGGCTGATAATGATTGTCAAAGAAATAAGGATTGTTGAAATATATTATCAGTGTTGATGATAATATTTAATTATCAATATAGAACATTATTGAAATGTTGTAAATCATGATGATTAGGAATTGATAATGATTGTCAAAGAAATAGGGGTAGTTGAAAATAATTATAATTGGTGTTGATGATAATATTTTATTATCAGTAAAGTAGATTATTGAAATGTTGTTGATTATAATATTGAGGTGATATAATGATTGTCAAAGAAATTGGGAAAGTTTAAAAGATATTATCGGTGTTGATGATAATATTTTGATATCTATATAAAAGATTATTGAAATGTTGTTGATTTTAATGAAGAGTAGGGTTAATTATTGTAAAAGAGATAGGGATAGATCAAAATTTATTCTTTAGGTATTGATGGTAATATTTCAATATCTATATCAAAAGATTTTTGAAATTTTGTTGATTTGATGAGGAAGTTATTATTATCAGAGAAATAGGGAAAGTTGAACATATATTATCAGTGATGATGATGATATTCTATAAGCAATATAGAAGAATATAATTGAAATGTTTTTGATTATGGTGATGCAGAGGGGATAATGATTGGCAAAGAAATAAGGATATTTGAAAAATAGTATCAGTGTTGATGATAATATTTTATTATCAATATAGAAGATTATTGAAATGTTGTAAATCATGATGATTAGGAATTGATAATGATTGTCAAAGAAGTAGGGATAGTTGAAAATATAATATCGATGTTGATGATAATATTTTATAAGCAATATAGAATATTTTTGGAATGTTATTGATTCTTATGATGACGTGATAATGATTATCAAAGAAATAAGGATAGTTGAAAATACATTATTGGTGTTGATGATAATATTTTATTATCAATATAGAAGATTATTGAAATGTTGTTGATTTTAATGATGAGGAGGGGGTAATTATTATAAAAGATATAGGGATTGTTCAAAATTTATTATTGGTTTTGATGATAATATTCTTATATCTATATAAAACCTTATTGAAATTTTGTTGATTTGATTAGGAAGTTATTATTGTCAGAGAAATAGGGAAAGTTCAAAAACATTATATTATCAGTGTTGATGATAATATTTTATTATCAATATAAAAAATTATTGAAATGTTCTAGATTATAATATTGAGGTGATAGTGATTGCAAAGAAATTTGGATAGTTGCAAATATATAATCCGTGTTGATGATAATATTTTATTAACAATATAGAAGATTATTGAAATGTTGTAGATTATAATGAGGAGGGGATAATGATTGTCAAAGAAATAGGGATAGTTGAAAATATATAATCTGTGTTGATGATAATATTTTATTAACAATATAGAAGATTATTGAAATGTTTAGGAAATAGATATCAATTCTGAGTGCATTGTTGTAGAATAATGCACGGTTTGAGTTCAAATGCGTAGAAATATAATCACGAAGGCCGATAGACCTGAGTGATTAATTACAAAGCATTTGAACGAAAAACGTGCATTATTAAACAATAATGCACGAAGAATTAATATCTATTTCCATTCTAACACATCAAGAAAAAATGTAATTATTATTATAAAGTTGGACTTTATGTTTAGTGGTTAAATTTGTTTTCGCCTCAGAGTTTCCAATAGAAACGTTCTTTAAAGGCTGTTCCAGTGGGTTGATAAAATCTGTCGTTAAATGTACCGTGTGTAGAAACATTTTGAGAATAACGAATTTTGAAAACGTTGATAAAACTTTGTTTGTTAATTTTATTTCACTCTACAATTTTTCAAGGGAAATACAAATTATTAAAAGTGAAATAAATGTAAAACTTAAATCGTTTGTGACATTAAAATAGCGTACTTGATTTGATTGTTTTGCACGTGTTGTTTGGCGCTACCTTGTGACGTCACGTAAACAACACTTTAAACGCCTGTACATCGTTAACGACTGAATTAAAGATATTGGTGATCGGATTCATTTTCTTAGTTAGACCATTTGCTTTCATTCTAGATAGCTTTCACAACAAAATTCTACAAAAAATGTTTTTATTTATCAGATTTTTTTAACAAAATGGCACCCTCAATGTGAAAATACACAGGGAGGTAATAAGAACGGCGAGTGCATTGTTGTAGTATAATGCACGCTTCGGGCCTTCTTTGCTTATATAGAAAAAAATCCGATAGTGTTAGAATGTTGAAATAATTATTATCAGTGTTGATGATAATATTTTATTATCAATATAGAAGATTATTGAAATGATGTAAATCATGATGATTAGGAATTGATAATGATTGTCAAAGAAATAGGGGTAGTTGAAAATAATAATAATTGGTGTTGATGATAATATTTTTATTATCAGTAAAGTAGATTATTGAAATGTTGTTGATTAAGGTGATGAGGAGGAGATAATGATTGTCATAGAAAAAGGGATAGTTGAAAATATATTATTGTTGTTGATGATAATATTTTGTTATCAATATAGAAGATTATTGAAATGTTGTAGATTAAAATATTGAGGTGATAATGATTGTCAAAGAAATTGGGATAGTTGAAAATGTATTATCAGTGTTGATGCTAATATCATATTAACAATATACAAGATTATTGAAATGTTGTTGATTTTAATAGGGAGGAGGAAATAATTATTGTCAAACAAATAGCGATAGTTGAAACTATAATATCGGTGTTGATGATAATATTTTATTAGCAATATAGAAAATTACTGGAATGTTGTTGATTATGGTGATGAAGAGGGGATAATGATTGTCAAAGAAATAGGGATAGTTGAAACTATATTATTGGTGTTGATGATAATATTTTATTATCAATATAGCAGATTATTGAAATGTTGTAAATTATAATTTTGAGGTGATATGATTGTCAAAGAAATTCGGATAGTTGCAAAATGTATTATCGGTGTTGATGATAATATTATATTAACAATATAGAAGATTATTGAAATGTTGTTGATTTTAATAGGGAGGAGGAAATAATTATTGTCAAACAAATAGCGATAGTTGAAACTATAATATCGGTGTTGATGATAATATTTTATTAGCAATATAGAAAATTACTGGAATGTTGTTGATTATGGTGATGAAGAGGGGATAATGATTGTCAAAGAAATAGGGATAGTTGAAACTATATTATTGGTGTTGATGATAATATTTTATTATCAATATAGCAGATTATTGAAATGTTGTAAATTATAATTTTGAGGTGATATGATTGTCAAAGAAATTCGGATAGTTGCAAAATGTATTATCGGTGTTGATGATAATATTATATTAACAATATAGAAGATTATTGAAATGTTGTTGATTTTAATAGGGAGGAGGAAATAATTATTGTCAAACAAATAGCGATAGTTGAAACTATAATATCGGTGTTGATGATAATATTTTATTAGCAATATAGAAAATTACTGGAATGTTGTTGATTATGGTGATGAAGAGGGGATAATGATTGTCAAAGAAATAGGGATAGTTGAAACTATATTATTGGTGTTGATGATAATATTTTATTATCAATGTAGCAGATTATTGAAATGTCGTAAATTATAATTTTGAGGTGATATGATTGTCAAAGAAATTCGGATAGTTGCAAAATGTATTATCGGTGTTGATGAAGATATTATATTAACAATATAGAAGATTATTGAAATGTTTTTGATTATGGTAATATAATACAGAGTAGTGGCAACATATAGGGATCACTTCTCCGTCGTCTGTCTGTCCATCCGTCTGTCCGTCCGTCACAAAACTTGTCCGGACTACTCCTCATAAACTACTGGTGCAATTTCATCCAAACTTTACAGAAATGATTAGTACCAAGTCTTGTTGTGCATATTGTCAGCATTTTCCGGTTCAATGATTTTTGTCAGAGTTATGGCCCTTTAATCATTTTTATTTTTAAAGTTTGTCCGGACTACTTCTCTTATACCACTAATGCAATTTCAATAAAACTTTACAGGATTGATCTGTAGCTCAAGTCCTTGCGCATATTGCACGGGTTTTCCAGGTGAATGATATTTGGCCGAGTAATTGCCCTTTGATAAAAAGGTGTTTTTTTCTGTGTGTTGCCAGATACACAAAAGCTTGTCCGGACTACTCCTCATAAACTACTGGTGCAATTTCATCCAAACTTTACAGGAATGATCAGTACCAAGTCTAGTTGTGCATATTGTCAGCATTTTCCGGTTCAATGATTTTTGTCAGAGTTATGGCCCTTTAATAAGTACCAAGTCTAGTTGTGCACTGTCCGTCTGTCTGTCACAAAACTTGTCCCAACATAAAATTGGCCATCATGAGGCGACACATGTGATCACTGATCGCTCTTGTTTATGAATAATTATATAAGTTTTAATCATATTTATGATAAATGAGATTCAGGGTTGTGGCAAAAAAAGGGCTTCAAATGAAGTCATTAGTCTTACTAAATTAAGAAACCCTGCAATGCGGGACACATTGACAAGTGCAGGTACATTTAAAATCTAAAGAAATATTATAACCAAAATTTTGCCTGATGCACTGTTGTAAAGCTTGAATTGTATTATTGTTCTGTATGAAGATTTTGAGTAACATGATTATTCAACATATTTGTAGATAAAACCTGACGACTGTCCACAAGAATTTTAATAGACTTGTTACTATAAACAATTTAACTATGATTTCAACTTATTTTCAATGGCATGTTACCAATTATGAGTTTGCAGCCATGAGTGGACTGAAGTCATAATCATTATTGGCCCACTGAAGGTGAGCAGAACTTAAGCAAATGCAAAAATGTCAAATATGACATCATAATTGACATTATCAAAGAATTAAAATTTTATTTTTAATACAGTTGACTAGGATTTTGTGATTTTAACTAATGTGATAACACATAGATTTACTGAAAACCCTAAATGAAACAAACAAAAAACACAAAATGGATTTGAATTACTGGAGTCTATGCATCTCTTAGCTCCTGTAAGTGAGTTGCTCTTTTTTATCCTATGTGTTCCTTTTGTAACAACTGAGGTTACTACTCAATGTTAGCCAAAATCATCTTTCCAGTTTCAGTGCCTTATAACCTATATTGTGTTGGTGCTGACGTAACGTGATTATCATGGCACCATCCAAACATCTGTGTAATAATCACACACATGGTAATATTTCCAGACTTGCAATAATTATGTGACAGGGAATTAATTAAAATCTCTAAAATTTTACATGCACTGTTCCAAATTCACCAGGTTATTTTATTGTTACAGATGCTGTTGAGGTAGTTTTGGCAATACCTGGAAAAATGCTTCAGAAGATTGCTGGAGGTCTTTTCTTGTTACCATGAAAAAGGTAAAGCCAAATTATTTTGAAACAGAACCCACATAGCTTTAAGTGGCCAAGATCACTCCCATTGTTTTTTAACACACATGAATATTGTATGAAAACAGCATAAAATATTTTAGGAACCAAGTATTATTCTGTTGTTTTAAGTATGGTTTTAACTGTTGTGGTTGGTGCCCGAATTACTCTTAGGGAAATGTTATAAAATGTCTTAAAATATGGATAGATGGCAGTATGGAAATTATACGCATCATTTTAATGTTGACTATAGGGAGTTTATTGAGGGCTGTCATAATTACCAAATGTCAGATGAGCCTTGTCCAGATGTCTGATTCTAGTTTTAATGCTTTTTCACTATAAGTTCTTTACTTTTAACGTATTTACTTCAAACTTTAAATATAAGTTTCTGGTCATCAACCACATCATATGTGACAAGGTTTACAACTTTAGCACACAAATTATCAGAAATACCTCCTTTGAACTTAAAATTTTCATGATAAAAAAAATGTTTTTATGCCACCGCAGCATCTGCGATGCGGTGGCATATAGCGATTCACCTGTGTGTGTGTGTGTTTGTTTGTGTGTGTGTTCTATAGATTATATAGTGAACTTAAAAAATCTTCTTGTGAAAAACCACTAGTCCAATTTCAACCAAACTTGGAAGGATTGATCCTTGGGTGAAGGGCTTCCAAAGTTGTTCAAAGAATTTCATTCCATGCAGAAATCTGATTGCCATGGCAACCAAAAGGAAATAGATCTATAAGAATAAATTTAAAAAATCTTCTTGTAAAGACCCAAAAGGCCTAGAGCTTAGATATTTTGCATAAGGCATTGTCTGGTAGACCTCTACCAAGATTGTTCAAATTATAGCCCTGGGGTCAAAATCGGCCCGCCCCGGGGGTCATTGATTTTCACTATATGTACATATAGTAAAAACTAAAAATACCTTCTTGTAAACACCCAAAAGGCCTAGAGCTTAGATATTTTGCATAAGGCATTGTCTGGTAGATTCTTACCAAGATTGTTCCAATTATAGCCCTTGGGTTAAAATCGGCCCCGCCCCGGGGGTCATTGATTTTCACTATATGTACATAGTAAAAACTTAAAATACCTTCTTGTAAAGACCCAAAACGCCTAGAGCTAAGATATTTTGCATATGCATTGTCTGGTAGACCTCTACCCAGATTGTTCAAATTATAGCCCTGGGGTCAAAATTGGCCCTGCCCCGGGGGTCATTGATTTTCAATATATACATCTGGTAAAAAATTAAAAAATCTTATTGTCTGAAGGTACAAGGCTTAGAGCTTTAATATTTGTTAAATGATATCATCTATAGGTACTCTACCAAAGTTGTTCAAATTTTGCCTCTAGTGTCAAAATTAGCCCCGCCCCGGGGGCCATAGGTTTTCCTTATATGTATATAGTAAAAACTTAAAAAATCATTTTCTGTAAATTTACAAAGGCTAGAGTAAAGATATTTTGCATGAAACATTGTGTAGTGAACCTCTAGCAAGATTGTACAAATTATAGCCTTGGGGTCAAAATTGGCCCCACCCCCAGGGGTCATTGATTTTCACTATGTACATATTGTAAAAAGTTAAAAAATCTTATTGTCTGAAGGTACAAGGCTTAGAGCTTTGATATTTGGTGTATAATATCATCTATGGGTCCTCTGCTAAAGTTGTTTTAATTATGCCCCTAGTGTTAAAATTGCCCTGCCCTAGAGGCGATAGTTTTCCTTATATGTATAAAGTAAAAACTTGAAAAATCTTCTTCTCTGAATTGACAAAGGCTAGAGATTAAATATATGGCATGAGACTTTGCGAAGTGAACCTCTACCAAGATAGTTCAAATTATAGCCCTGGGGTCAAAATTGGTTCCGCCCCGGGGGTCATTGATTTTCATTATGTACATATAGTAAAAAGATAAAAAACATTTTTGTCTGAAGGTACAAGGCATATAGAGCTTTGATGTTTGCTGTATAATATCATCTATAGGTCCTCTACCAAAGTTGTTCAAATTTTTCCCCTGGTGTTAAAATTGGCCCTGCCCGGGGGCTGTGATTCTCATTAGTCGAGCATACAGTCTCCTCTGACAGCTGTTGTTATTATAATTCCCCGCCGAAAAAGCAGCAGGGGATATAAAAATAGTCTCCGTCCGTCTGTCCTTACGTCCAAACATCCGTTCTTCTGTCCCACATTTTGTCTGGAACATATCTCAAAAGTGTTTGAGGTATCAACTTGTAATTTCATAGGTGGAGGGATCTCGTTGAGGAGGAGTGCAGTGCATTAGAATGATTATTCTACCCTGCATAATTTTTCAGTTATTGCCCTTTGTTCTGTTTCAAACTTAATTTTGTCCAGAGCATAACTCAAAAGCCTTTGAGATATCGGCATGGAACTTCATAGGTGGATAGATCTTACTCAGGAGATGTGCAGTGCATAAGAAAGATAACTCTACCCTTCAAAATTTTTTAGTTATAGCCCTTTGGTGTTTTTTTTCATACTTAATTTTTCATCTGAGTGGAGCATAACTCAAAAAAGTCTTTGAGATGTCAACATGAAACTTCATAGGTGGATAGATCTTATTGACAACGAATGCAGTGCGCAAGAATGATAACTGTACCCTTTATAATTTTTGAGTTATTGCCCTTTGTTATTTTTCATACTTTTTGTCGGGAGCTCATCTTAATAGTGTTGGAAGTATCAATTTGAAAGTTCATAGGTGGATGCATCTCATTGAGGAGGAGTGCAGCACACAAGAATGATAACCTTAGTAACCCTGCATTATTTTTGAGTTTTTGCCTGTTGTTATTTTCAGCCACCAGTTTCAAATCTGCAATCACTTCAGCCATCAGTTTTCATTACCAAAAGACCTCTTAAAATTGAATTATTCTGCTCTACTACATATACATTCTCCCAATGAGCAAACACATTTGGCAGGGGGATGGCCATGTTAACATATGGCTCTTGTTGTCCCCCGCCTTTTCGAAGAAAAAAGGGGGATATAGAAATAGGCTCCGTCCGTCCGTCTGTCAGTCCGTCACACTTTAGTGTCCTGTCCATAACTTTGTCATTTATCAAAGGAATCTGAAATAACTTGGCACAAATGTTTGTTTTAATAAGACAATATTATAGTCTGTTATAGGGTATATTTTGTGTCCGGTCCATAACTTTTTCATAGATCAAAAGATTTTGTAAATACTTGCCACAAATAGTCACTATAATAAAACAATGTGTCATGCACAACACCTGCATCCCTACCTCCAAGTTCAAGGTCACACTTAGAGGTCAAAAATTAACATAGTCTGTTTTAGGGTATATTTTGTGTCCGATCAAGAACTTCTTCGGGATTTTAAAATAACTAGGCACAAATAGTCACAATAAGAAGACAATATGTCAAGTACAACACCTGCACCCCTACCTCCAAGGTCAAGGTCACACTTAGAGGTCAAAGGTTAACAGTCTGTTATATGGTATATTTTGTGTCCTGTCCATAACTTCTTCATAGATCAAGGGATTTTGAAAATACTAGGCACAAAAAGTCACAATGATAAGATAATATGTCATGCGTAACACCTGTGTCCCTACTTCCAAGGTCAAGGTCAGATTTAGAGGTCAAAGATTTACATAGTCTGTTATAGGGTATATTTTGTGTCCGATCTATAACTTCTTCATAGTTCAAGGGATTTTGAAAATACTTGGCACAAATAGTAACAATAATAAGACGATATGTCATGCATAACACCTGCACCTCTACCTCCAAGGTCAAGGTCACACTTAGAGGTCAAAGCTTTACATGATAAATTTTTAAATTCCGTGTTTCATTTTATTTCTTTAATAAATTTATTGTTGCATTTGCAGATCTTGCATTGATCATAATTTTGGACTGAAAGTCCTGAGATCCATACCTCAATCTTTTGAAATAGCACAATTTTATGCTTCATATAAAAATTCCTGGAGGTGGGGGACGTTGGTAACTCTGTTACAAATTCTTGTATATCTTGTTCATATTGATTTGATAAAAGTCATAGTAATTTATTTCTTTGTCCACTGAACAAAGCTTATAAATTTTATTTAAACAGTTAAATTTGAAATGGCTATATTTCATTTTATATTGAAAATGATATTCTGAATTAATAATTGTTTTGGTTTTTCTTTATTGTAGGAATGGTGAGAAACACGGAAACATTAGTGAAGACACTACAAAATGGGATAAAAACGGAATGTCCAGTCACTTGAAGCTGTCATACAGAATTACTGACAAAACAAAAAGAAATTGATCTTGTACCCTATAAATACATGTATATAAGAAATTGATAGATGAACTTTGGAACACTTGATTATGATAAATCTGATAATGTGATATAATAGATTTTATGATAATTATGAAATACAAGTAAAATTAATAAAAATAAATTTATCCACTGAGAAATAAGATATAACAAAAGAGAAATATTTTTCAAAATTAAAAAGTACAAGGTCTATTATCTGAAACCAGTTTAAATTATATAGAACTTACAGAATTTATTTAATATTATACAATTATTGACTAGTGAACCATTGAATATGATGTGATATTCACCAGCAGATGACATATCGCCTCGGTCAATATGACTTTCTGCCGGTGAATATCACATCATATTCAATGGTTCACTTGTCAATAATTGTTTTATTATATGAATAGGCTAATAAAATTAAAAAAATCACAAAAGTACAACCTTATAATTATACATGTACAAATTTTGCCTTGTTGAAGCGCTGAAAAAAAGACGCACGTGTTAGGCGTGCAACGACTACTCGAACGCTGCGCATACAAAAATAATTCAAGTTTATACTCATCATTGCGGTTTAACTTTTAAGTATAATAGTAAAGTATTGATATTTTAATCGAGAAATATGCCATAAAGAACAAAAAGCAACAATTATTTTTTTATTAACACGCGTAATTAACAGCCTACGTAGTATGATCATTGAATATGAGTCTCAATCTATTTTTAGACTGGGAAAATCCAATTCAGCCAGTGAATATGATACTGCACCCAGTGAATATGATTTTATAAAAAGTTCTGTTGACTACTGTTTGGACCAATGAGCTTGCAGCTATATTTAGATCATATAATAAACCCTGTTAATATACTTTTAATGTATTTGCTCAAATCATAAGTTTATGACAAACATTTTTAAAGGCCCATCAAGCCTAAAAAATGCTATTATTTTAACCCTTTCTTTGCCAGAGGGTTATTTATTTATTTGCCAGGAGGTTTTCTAAGAAATTAATATATTATTTATTATTATAATTATTATTATTTGTTATTAGTATTATAATAGTTATATATGTTTCTAAATCTGCTAGTATATAATAATTATTGTTGATTGTATAATTATCTATATATTTATTATCATTATCATTATTATTATTATAATTATTATTATTATAATTATAGAAACGGCAAAAGCCGTCCATATGGCAAATACGCACAAAATAATATGCCGTCCCTATGGCAGTGAAAGGGTTAATTATACAAAAACTTCTTACTTTTTGTGTTTCTAAACAGTTTCTCATTAGCCATATACCCAAGCCATCTTTTGCATTTTGACAATTATGGGCAGTACAGTTTTTAATGATTTAGTACTTTGCATAAGCAAGTCAAAACTTTGTTTACAATTTGCTATCTTTGTCACAAATTATTTCACAGTCAACACTATTTTTTCATGTGATAAGCATCTCACATGCTTTAAATCCATTATAACAACATTATAAAACACATGTTTGCCTTTTGTACAAATAAAAAAAAACTCATTTTTTAAGACATTGTTTGCCTTTAAAACATGTTTCGATTTAAAATGTAAGGTAATTGATATCTTGGTAAGACCATGTTCATGGAGGTTTTGGCAAAATCTATAATGTAAAATTGTCAATTTTAAATTAGTTTTTCTTCCCAACACTTGAGAGTTAAGATGAATGAAATCTCAATAAAAGCATGATTCATGGTGTTTTTGGCAAAATCTTTAATGTAAAATTGTCTAATTTGAATAATTAATCTGTAATTGATATAAATATTTCCCATCACTTGAGAGTAACTGTTCATGTTCAATGTTTATTAGCATTCAGCAAATCATTTGCCTCTAAAATTAGGACATTCATTTTAGATATACAGTTACAAAGTAAAGACGACATATGATAATAAAACAAACCTGCAAACAATATAATTTCCAATAATTATATATTATTATGATCATTTGATATCGAATTATTAAAAGTATATGTAGGTACTGGTACAGCATTCAAAATTAATTTATTACAAGATTTAACACAGCTATTCTATTCTTTAATGGTATAAGTTTTTAAAATTTTTGTACAGATTGGCATGAGCGTTTAAAAAAAATGGATTTTTAAAAATCACTATATACTTTTGATAAAATGATACAAAATAATGGTCATCTGCAATTCAATCTTTACAATAAATACATCAATTTTTGTGGAATAATGTTTGAATGTTTGATTTTTGAATTTTTTTCAGAGCAATTTTATTGGCTTGTCTTTTTGGGTTTTTTTTCTTTTCTTAATTTTTTTTTAATTTCTGTCTTTATAAAAGTCATTTTACCTTCTTCTGAGTTCTCACTGCATTTTCACTTGTTCTATAATAAATAACCTATATACATGTGTATTCTCAGTGCTAACAATATAACAATATTTAACTATCGGTTAAATGAATTTTATATAAGGCAATCCAAGCACAGCATAGACAAGCTTTAGAATTTTAGCTGAAAAAATTTTAAAAGCAAAAATAAAAATGGATAGAAAATAATAAAAAACTAAAGAAGGATTAAAGGTTGTTTTACCAGTACTTTAAGATTATGAAAATTACTTATGATAAAATGTTTTACTAAATTTTTTTAAAAGCTGACTGTTCTTCCCTAAAACTAAAGGTTGTTTATTTTATTTCCTTTGTCATGTTGCAGTTACTGTCAATGTTCTTATGTAAATGTAAAAAAATAGCTAAAATTTCTTTACCTGATAACATTTAAAAATTCTTAAAATATCTCCTCTGGATTTAATATACAGTGTACTTATATTTGATAATCAATATTATCAACTTAAAAATCACAATTTAATCATATTGTTCTTAATTTGATTAAATAAGATATAAAATTATAAACATTTTTTTTAACCCCTGGTATGCTAAATATATGAAATTAACTTGTTTGATGAGACCATTTATCATTTTGAGGGAAAATTTAAAACATGCACTGACTGATATAGACCAGTGCAGACCTGTGCAGACCACGATTAGACGGTACTTGATGTTTCGACTGGTCTTGTCTGCCCAGGTATTATGGGTAAAATATGTTGCCACCAGCAGGCTAAGGGTAAAACATCTTGACTTTAGTGAAAATAAAAAAATAAATATATTTAATGCACATAAAGTCTCAGAAATAATCTTTTTTCTCTCTGTAAAAAGGGTAAATATGTGTTTTATAATATTGTAATAATAGATTTAGAACATGAAAGATGCTAATCATCTGAATGAAATATTGCTGAATGTGAAATAACTTGTAATAAAGATAGCCAAATGTATACAAATTAGTTTTTTTGACACCTTTAAAAAGTACTGATTAACTTATACTAATTGCCAAACTGCAAAACAAAACTGAAATAAAAACTGAAAGCATTACTGAGGCACAATGGGCCTTTAAGCTAAAAATATTTGAGGGTCACTCCAGTTTACTGACCTTGAATTTGTTATTTCAGGTCAATCCATGGGCAAATGATTTTTCCATGAGCTTTACAAATTTTAATTTTACTATTGTTTTATATTTTTCATTTTATCCTCAGTCACAGAGTTTAAAAATGTCCATTTTAAAATGAATCGGCAAAGCTTTAAGAAAAGAAGATGAAAAAATAGCCGTTAGCAATTTTCCGTCCATTAGCAATTTGGTTTCCGGAGCATAACTTAAATTCTATTTGGCCCACAATGTTCAAACTTCATAGGATGATTGTCCTTATTGGGTAAGAGACCCCTATTGATTTTGGGATCAAAAGGTCAAGGTCACTGTTACCTTATTTCTGTCCGTTAGCAATTTTCCGTCCGTTAGCAATTTAATTTCCAGAGCATAACGTAAATTCTATTTGGCCCACAATGTTCAAACTTCATAGGATGATTGTCCATATTGGGTAGAAGACCCCTATTGATTTTGGGGTCAAAAGGTCAAAGGTCAAGGTCCCTATTACCTTAAATCTGATAACTGTTTCTGTCTGTTAGCAATTTGGTTTCCGGAGCATAACTTACGTTCCATTTGACCAACAATGTTTAAACTTCATAGGATGATTGTCCATATTGGGTAGAAGACCCCTATTGATTGTGGGATCACAAGGTCAAAGGTCAAGGTCACTATTACCTTGATACTGAAAACAGTTACCGGAGCATAACTTAAGTTCCATTTGGCGCACAATATTCAAACTTCATAGGATGATTGTCCATATAAGGTAACAGACCCCTATTGATTTTGTAGTCAAAAGGTCAAAAGTCAAGGTCACTATTACCTTCATACTGAAAACAGTTTGTGGGGCATAACATAAGTTCTATTTGGCCAACTTTATTCAAACTTCATAGGATGATTGTCCATATTGGGTAGAATACCCCTATTGATTTTCGGATTACATGCTCAAAGGTCAAGGTCACTATTACTTTAATACTGAAAACAGTTTCCGAAGCATAACTTAAATTCCATTTGCCCCACAATATTCAAACTTCATTGGATGATTGTCCATGTTGGGAAAAAGATCCCTATCGATTTTGGGGTCACTTGGTCAAAGGTCAAGGTCAGTATTACCTTGATACTGAAAACAGTTTCCGGGGCATAACTTAAGTTCCATTTGGCCGACAATATTCAAACTTCATAGGATGATTGTCCATATTGGGTAGAAGACCCCTATTGATTTTTGGATCAAAAGGTCAAGGTCACTATTACCTTAAAACTGAAAACAGTTTCTGTCCGTTAGCAATTTTCCGTCCATTAGCAATTTGGTTTCCGGAGCATAACTTAAGTTCTATTTGGCCCACAATGTTCAAACTTCATAGGATGATTGTCCATATTGGGTAGAAGACCCCTATTGATTTTGGTGTCACTAGGTCAAAGGTCAAGGTCAATATTATTGATACTGAAAACAGTTTCTGGAGCATAACTTAAGGTTTATTTGACCCACAATGTTCAAACTTCATAGGATGATTGTCCATATTGGTCAGAAGACCCCTATTGATTTTGGGGTCACTAGGTCAAAGGTCAAAGTCACTATTACCTTGATACTGAAAACAGTTTCCGGAGCATAACTTAAGATCCATTAGACCCACAATGTTCAAACTCCATAGGATGATTATCCATATTGGGTAGAACACCCCTATAGATTTTGGTGT